TCTGCCCGGGAATCTCTGGTCTGGCTTCCTTCTTTAGTCCGTCCTTCAATCAGCTGAATAGGTGACTCTGTCTTGCCGGAGCTCCAAACGTCGGCCAACAGGAAACCCAGTCTCGTTTACTCTGCACCAAGAACCGAGCCGGCCACGAGAGTCGCGCTGGCGACCCGTGGGGCTCCTCCGCTGGGAATCTCCTGGTCCGTGAGCAACAAAAATTCATCTGAAAATGTGGCGTCCTCTTGTTCTCTGTGCTTTCACTGGGAGCTATAATCCCAAGCTGCTAGTGATCAGCCATCTTGGATCTCTCTCGCGTATTCCTCTTGCCATTTCACCCTCCAAGATTCTTCTTCCCATAATCAAATTCTATACCTTACTCAAGACTCTGCTTAAATTTTGCTAATTTCAAAAAAAAAAAAAAAAAAAAAAAAAAAACAACTCTTTTCTAGCCATATCCATTATTGGAATTCTAAAAGCAATTACTGGGGATGGGCATGGTGGCTCATGCCTGTAATTCCAGCACTTTAACAGGCCAAGGTGGGAGGATCACCTGTGGGCAAGATTTTGAGACCAGCTGGCCTATGTGGTGAAACCCCTTCCCTCCTAAAAATACAAAAATTAGCTGGGCCTGGTGCTTCAATCCTGTAATCCCAGCTACTCAGGGGGCTGAGGCAGGAGAATTGCTTGAACCTGGGAGGTGGATGTTGCTGTGACCCAAGATCGCACCACTGCACTCCAGCCTGGGTGACAGAGCGAGACCTGGTCTCAAAAAATAAAATAAAATAGGCCGGGCATGGTGGCTCACGCCTGTAATCCATGCACTTTGGAGGCCAAGGTGGGCGGATCACCTGAGGTCAGGAGTTCAAGACCAGCCTGACCAACATGGTGAAACCCCATCTTAAAAAAAATAATAATAATAAATAAATAAAAATAAAATAAAAGTAATTATTGGTAGCACAATTAATTTAGTATTTATTCCCTGTTCTAATTAATAAATTAGTATTTATTCAGTGGCCAGCAGTCATAATGGTTGGGAATTTTAAAAATAACTGCAGTTGTTTAATATTTGTTGTGTTTACCTTGCTTCTCCTCTTAAGTTGTGTGGGCATCTTTAGTGTAATTCGCGTCTTGCATGTCTCTGCTCATTCAAATACCCACACGGCATCTTGTTCTTGGTTGCCAACCAGCAAAAAGCCTTATATTTATTCACTTCAGTATTAATATGACTTAACTTTTCCTATATAGTTGACAGTTTTGTGACCTTGCAAGTCCTTTATTTTACTGCATTTTGCTAAGTGTGTTCATTATTATTAGTAATAAGCTTTGTTCAGTGAGAATCCTTTAAGATTCTCTTCAAAATTCTTGAAAAGCAGATTTATTTTCTTTCTAAAATAAGCCCCCCATGCTTTATTCTTTTATTATAAATGTATGCATAAAGTCATTTTTATGAGTCTAAATTTATCTACTCACTTATGAAGCAGTGTTAAGTCTGGTAAAGTGATCGAGTGGACTGGGCTGTCTTGTTCCCTACTCTACCTTAAGATGGACAATTCGACTTGAGCTTTTAACTTGCAAGGTTCCCTCCTAAGGACAGCAAATGTAATATAAGTGAAACATTAGAATGAGCATTTAGAGTTCCAAGAGGGGTCAGGCCAGGCATGGTGGCTCATGCCTATAATCTGCGAGGCTGAGGCGAGTGGATCTTGAGGTCAGCCTGGCCAACATGGTGAAACACTGTGTCTACTAAAAAAAAACCAAAAAACAAAAAATTAGCTGGGTGTGGTGGCAGGCACCTGTAATCCCAGCTACTTGGGAGGCTGAGGCAGGAGAATCACTTGAACCCAGGAGGCAGAGGTTGCAGTGAGCTGAGGTTGTGCCATTGTACTCCAGCCTGGGTGACAGAGCAAGACTCCGTCTCAAAAAAAAAAAAAAAAAAAAAAAAAAAAGAGTTACAAGAGGGTCATAATCCACAATCTGTTAATTTATTATTTAAAAGTTGATGAGCCGGGCGTGGTGGCTCAAGCCTGTAATCCCAGCACTTTGGGAGGCTGAGGCGGGTGGATCACGAGGTCAAGAGATCGAGACCATCCTGGTCAACATGGTGAAACCCCGTCTCTACTAAAAATACAAAAAATTAGCTGGGCATGGTGGCGTGTGCCTGTAATCCCAGCTACTCAGGAGGCTGAGGCAGGAGAATTGCCTGAACCTGGGAGGCGGAGGTTGTGGTGAGCCGAGATCGCGCCATTGCACTCCAGCCTGGGTAACAAGAGCGAAACTCCGTCTCAAAAAAAAAATAAAAATAAAAAGTTGATAAGATTATGGCTTCCAGCCAATGGTAGTAGGCATGAAGCCTTTGAGTGTGGCAGCACACCTGGCCTGATCTTGTGCTGTGTGGGGTACAGGGCATGCTTAAAGCAGTACCATCCTCACACTGATTTGTCAACGTGGTTTTGCTGCACAGAACCGACACAAGTGAAACATAGCCAGCCATCTCCTAAAACAGGTCCTTTCGACCCGAACGTCGAGGTAGCAAAGTGAGACAGAAAATAGAATAAGAGAAGTATAGAACACCTATAAACTATGAGCTACTAAGCCCTTTAACATGTATGTTGTTCAATTTTCCCAACATCCGTGAAATGGATAGTAACAGTTTACAGATGAAGTAGTGAAATCGCATAGACATAAAACAGAGTATTCACTATTAGATGTTGAGTAAATGGTAGATTTGTAGAATGAATTCAAATATGACTGCTAAACCAACACCCTTAATTTCTCTTGCTTTTGTTCCCATAACCCAGTGTTATTTTGTACCCTTTGTATTAATATATATTAATGTAATTATTTAGAGTTAATTGTTGATTTTCTTTCCTACTGGACCATAAGTCCTAAGAGTAGAAAACATGATTGTTTGGTTCAGTGTTATATCTCTAAGACCAAACACTTTGTTTGTCTTACGGCTGGTGCTCAGATAATATTTTTGTTTCCCTTTTTAGTGCAGGTGGTTTAGGGCAGATAGGAAGGGGACCATGGTTCCTACCATTTTGTGTTGATTGACTTAGGTACGAAAAGAATCCATGGAAAGTCTAGGCCAGTGTGAACCTGAACGATCAGAAGGTTTTATGAGTGTTAGTTAAATTTCTTAGGAGGAAATAATTTTTAACTGTAACCTACATCTAAGGCCATGCATGACCTTCAGTACCTTCATTCTCAAAAAGAAAGTATTATAGAGCTTGGCACAATGCCACATACCTGTAGTTCCAGCAACTTGGGAGGCTGAGGTAAGAGCATCACTTGAGCCCAGGATTTGGAGGCTGTAGTATGCTATAGTCACGCCTGTGAATAGCCACTGGAGCACTCCAGTCTGGGCAGTGTAGCAAGACTCTGTCTGTTAAAAAACAAAAAGATTGGCCAGGTGCGGTGGCTCACGCCTGTAATCCCAGCACTTTGGGAAGCCGAGGCGGGCAGATCACCTGAGGTCAAGGGTTTGAAGCCAGTCTGGCCAACATGGTGAAACCCCATCTCTACTAAAAATACAGAAATTAGCCAGGTGTGGTGGTGGGTGCCTGTATTCCCAGCTACTTGGGAGGCTGAGACAGGATAATCGCTTGAACCTGGGAGGTGGAAGTTGCAGGGAGCCGGGATTGCGGTACTACACTCCAGCCTAGGGCCAGGCGCGGAGCTCACGCCTATAATCTCAGCACTTTGGGAGGCTGAGGTGGCCGGATCACCTGAGGTCAGGAGTTTAAGGCCAGCCTGGCCAACATGGTGAAACCCTGTCTCTACTGAAAATACAAAAAAAAAAAAAAAATTAGCTGGGCATAGTGGCGGACACCTGTAATCCCAGCTACTTGGGAGGCTGAGGCAGGAGAATCACTTGAACCTGAGAGGAGGAGGTTGCAGTGATCCAAGAATGTGCCATTGCATTCTGTCCTGGGTAACAAGAGTGGAACTCTGTCGTGGACCGTCCGGGACGGGTAGGCACGTCTGCCGGGAGTCTCTCGAAGTACAAGAGGGTCCCAATACCTGGAAGAGGGAGTGCGCCTGGAAAAATAATAAAGACAGAGAGAGAGAAAGCGAGGCGTCCGGAGGGCTGATAGGCTGTGCCTAAACAGCAAATTTTATTTTTCAAAGGCCAGGAATAAATACACTTTCTTGGCTCTTGCTATGACACTTTTCATAGCAAGAGGAAATGCAAATGTATGCCTCACATGGCCTATACAATAGAGAAGTCAGATATACAATCAGTGGTTGTAAAAAGTAACAGAATTTCCTGTAATCACAAAGCTTGTCTGCATCCTAACATTATTCACAAAGCTTGTTTACATCCAAACATTATTCACAAAGCTTGTTTACATCCAGACATCATTCCTCCTGGCTGCAGGTATCTCTGGTTTGACCTTGTTTTAGAACTGAGATGTGAAAAGGTTTTCTGGTTTTGCTCATCAGAATATCTTTTAATCGGATTCTCCTTTGTCTACTCCTGACTCAACTTAACTCAACTTCCCCATTCAGGAGTCTCTGAGTCAGAAATCAAAGCCATCCCTTATGGTGGCATTTGCTTTGCAAATATCGACAGTTAAACCATTATCTAGGGTACAAGGCAGTCAGGTAAGGTTTAAGGCTTATTCTTAAAGAGTCATAAAAAGGTTAAAAGCAGGAACCGGTTGCTGGCAGGGCGTCACTCAGTCTAGCAGCACCGCGTAGTTTTAGACCCAAACGATATTGTGGTTGATATTAGAAACTGATCATTCATCTTTCAGTTCCTGTATTTCCGGATAGCTCGACTGCCTCCAGTAGGAAACTGTGTTTGGGATCAAACTCACCGTATAGTGAGACTCACGCCTTTTGGGGGTCTCACACGGGAATGTTCCCCACAGAACTCCATCTCAAAAAAAAAAAATAGATACCATGGTTGAGAAATCACAGTGAGGATGGGGAAATGCTGTGACATCTCAATAAGACAGATCCAGCTACTCTATTTAATTTTTAAAACGTTCTTTTAATAGAAAAAATCAGACAAAGATATGCAGAACTGCCTGGAGAACTGCACATTATTGAACTTGAAAAGGATAAGAACGGACTTGGACTCAGCCTTGCTGGCAATAAAGACCGATCACGCATGAGCATATTTGTGGTGGGAATTAACCCAGGAGGACCTGCTGCAACAGATGGGCGAATGCATGTTGGAGATGAGCTCTTAGAGGTGAGAAGCATATGTTTCTAGTTTCTGTTTTGGTGAAGTGGATGGGTGCAGTGGATGTTCTAAAGGAAAATGAGGGGAAAGGAAAATGATGTCAAATTATATTTCCTTCAACTATTTAAAATCATTTTCAAAGCGAGAACAGAAATCAAATTATTGCTTGCAAATATTATTTGCTGCTTGAGTAAAGAGTAATCTCACAGATTATTTTAGAATTTCTTAAGTAAAATATCGTGGAAACATATTAAAACCATAGGGCTTGTTTTTAATAGCAATTTTAAAATATTCAAAATTAATTTGGTTGTATAGTAACCTAATCTTGTTAGCATTTCTCAAAATTATCTTTGGGTTTTGAATTTACCATAAGTGTAACTGTTGTTGTTTTTCAGGGTTTTTTAAGAAAATGTTAGAGCCAACAAGAGCCTGTGAAATCTCAAAAATAATAGTTAATGTCTGTGAAGTTCAGGATGTGGGTTAAGGCTGCATATAGGTTCTTTCTTTAGGAATTGAATAGACAGAAGAGAAACTAAGAAGATGACTGATCCTCTTTTAATGACTCCAGATAATTTCATTAATAATCTGAAAAGGTTATTCTTATTCTTCTACACTTAAACTCAAGGTATCTGTTCTGAGTGTATCTTAGTTTGATACTCATTTCGTTGTTCATTCACCCATTCTTTCACCTAACACTTTTGAGAGTCTATTAGGACTGGAGATGGAAAAAGAGATGAATACATCCAAGTTCCTTCATTAGGAACTTTTCTTCCCCTAGCTCACAGCCTAGGGGAAGAAAACAGACATGAAAATGTATTTATACTGGGAGGGAGAGATCCAAGATGGCTGATCACTAGCAGCTCGGGATTGTAGCTCCCAGTGAAAGCACAAAGAAGGAGAGGACGCCACACCTTCACATGAATTCTTGTTGCGCACGCACCAGGAGATTCCCAGCGGAGGAGCCCCACGGGTCACCAGCGCGACTCTTGTGACCGGCGAGGCGGTTTTGCCGGCGCCTTGGAGCGTTGGTTCTTGGTGCAGAGTCAGAAAAGCACCATCAATCTTAACGCTGCTGATTTAGTCGGCACAGTGGGTTGCTCAGATTTCGGCGCTGAGAATCAATAAGTTGGACGTCCACTCAGAAACTCAATTACAAAGACGGTAATTATAAAGACCACATGGATAAATCTACAACGAAGGGAAGAAAACAGCCAAAAAAGGCTGAGAATACCCAAGATCAGAACGCCTCTCCCTCAGCAGGGGATCACAGTTCCTCATCAGCAACGGAACAAGGCTTGATGGAGAACGAGTGTGTTCCAATTACAGAAGCAGGCTTCAAAATGTGGATAATAAGAAACTCCTGTGAATTAAAAGAACTTGTTCTAACACAATCCAGAGAAACTAAGAACTTTGAAAAAAGGTTTGACGAAATGTTAACAAGAATACACAATTTAGAGAGGAATATAAGTGAATTGATGGAGCTGAAAAACACAATACAAGAACTACGTGAAGTATGCACAAGTTTTAACAGCCGAATTGATCAAGCAGAAGAAAGGGTATCAGAGGTCGAAGACCAACTCAATGAAATAAAACAAGAAGACAAGATTAGAGAAAAAAGGATAAAAATGAACGAGCAAAGTCTCCAAGAAATATGGGACTATGTGAAAAGACCTAATCTACGCTTGATAGGTGTACCTGAATGTGACGAAGAGAATGAATCCAAGCTGGAAAATATGCTTCAGGATATTATTCAGGAAAATTTTCCCAGCCTAGTAAGGCAGGATAATATTCAACTCCAGGTAATACAGAGAACACCACAAAGATATTCCTCAAGAAGAGCAACTCCAAGGCACATAATCGTCAGATTTACCCGGGTTGAAATGAAGGAGAAAATACTAAGGGCAGCCAAAGAGAAAGGTCAGGTTACCTACAAAGGGAAGCCTATCAGACTCAGAGCAGATCTCTCAGCAGAAACCCTACAAGCCAGAAGAGAGTGGGGGCCAATATTCAACATCCTTAAAGAAAAGAACTTTCAACCCAGAATTTCACATCCAGCCAAGCTAAGCTTCATAAGTGAAGGAAAAGTAAAGTTTTTTGTGAACAAGCAAGCACTCAGATTTCATCACCACCAGGCCTGCTTTACAAGAGCTTCTGAAAGAACCACTACATATAGAAAGGAATAAACAGTATCAGCCTTTCTAAAAAATACCAAAAAGAGCATCAATATAATGAAGAATTTACATCAACTAATGGACAAAATAGCCAGCTAATATTAAATGGCAATATTAAACTCACATATATCATTGTTAATTCTAAATTTAAATTGACTAAATCCCCCAATCCAAAGACAGACAGACAATTTAGATAAAAAACTAAAACCCATCAGTATGCTGCATCCAGACCCATCTCACATTCAAGGATACACAAAGACTCAAAACAAGGGTTGGAGAAAGATTTACCAACCAAACAGAGAGCTAAAATAAATAAATAAAAAGCAGAAGTTACAATTTTTGCCTCTGATAAAATAGTTGTTAAAGCAACAAAGATCAAAAGAAGCAAAGAAGGACATTATATAATGATAAAAGGATCAATGCAACAACAAGAAGAGCTAAAGATCCTAAATATGTACGCACCCAATACAGGAATACCCAGACATACAAGACTAATAAAGAGACTTAGACTCCCACACAATAATAGTCGGAGACTTCAACATTAATATTAGACAGATCAATGAGACAGAAAATTAACAACAATATCCAGGGCTTGAACTCAGATCTGTAACAAGTAAACGTAATTAACATTTATAGAACTCTCCACTTTAAATACACAAAATATACACTCTTATCAGTACCACATCATATCAACTTAGAAGTTTAAAAAAAAAAAAAGAAAATGTATTTATACTGCACAATGAGAAATGCAGTAATAATGATGATGATGATGAGAGTAACAGCTAACATATACCTGGTACCAAACACAACAGCTTCTTTTACTGGTGAGATCACAAAGTAAATGATGGCATTAGGATTCAATGGCAGGCAGTTTGACTTGTAGCTCTTGGTAAGCCATTGTGCTTGAAGGCCTATTTGATAAAATGTTCCAACTTTAGGACATTTAGGGGAGCTAAATCATGGAGACATCAAGGTTTAGACTGCTTACTTGAAATGAAGGCTTACTGATTTTGCATTTTACGATTTCCTCTTCAGACTCTGACTCAGAATTTACAGTCACCTGTAATTTTACTTGCCCAATAATAACTACTGCCACAGCTGGCCAGGTGCAACAGAAAGACCATCACGATCAGCTCTTTCTTCCAAACCCTGGTTGCTTCTCCCCACTTAAAACCTGTTTCTGCAAAGAAGTCACTTCCGGAATTACTTTTCTTTTCTTGTTCTTTTATAATATGGCGTCATGAATGGGACCCACATTGGGTAGTAACACTGACTAGCATGATCATTACATAAATAAAGTCAAAGATGACCTTACGTATTAACCAATATTATTCATTCATTGCTTCAGTCTATTTCCTTTGGCTTATGTTTAGAGACTTCCTCAGAGATGAGACAAAAGAGATGGCGGTGGTAAAAATGATGAAAGAGCCAATGTACTCAATTATTACTAGCACTGCACCTATGCATTGTACATATTTGTATTCAGTATTCTTAAGAATGCTTTATGGTGACAACTATTATTATCTCCATTTCATGGATTAGAAACTGGGTAAGTAACATACCTAATATTGCAGAACTAAGTGACTAAGTTTGGTTAAGAATACAGGCTTGCCAGACTCCAAGACCTATGTTACAGCCACTGAGGTACACCGCGCTCCTCATGGGACTTCTTTAACCAACTCAGTTTGTTTAGATTCAGGAGATTCCTGATTTTTGATGCTCTAGTCTTTAGAGAATCGTGTATATTAAGTCACTCTGCTGCATTATGCATATCTAGACAGAGATCTCCTGTCTTGCTTGGTATATGGAAACACTCCAAAGGCTATTATATGGAATATGAAGATTCTTGTTCCATTCTGTCTACCTTATTAAGACTGAAGATGGAATTTCCTATGGTATCCAGACCAACAGCAGCACTGGTATTTTATTTCTCTGTCTGACATTTTATTTGATAATGGTAACAAATGGGCTGTGGCTGCAGAGTAATGAGAGTGTTTAAAGGTCAAACACAAAATTCAGCACTGTGGCAGCAAGCACTGGACTTGGAAGACCTACTGTAACTTGTCTCAATTCTTTTGGTTATAGTTGTATTTCAGAAGTTGCTCAGCGTAGTGTATGTAAGAGATAAAGAGTTTTCCTTTTCTTAGACCACAGAACATCAACTGACATCAAATGTGTGACAACTGTCCCCCACATACCAAGGAATTCTCCAGCTGACACCAATTGAGTGTCCCATGATTCGATTCAATTCTGACACTAGCTGCCTGGAGACAGTGTTAGACCCCACAAGTTAAGGATTCAGCCCCACAACACTGTCTCCCACTATTTTAGAGACCGTTTACAATCCTAGGTTATGACCTGAACTTCTGACCAACCAGCTTTAAATTGGAGTTCCCATGAGCCCCTACTCAGGTTTGATTAATTTCCTAGCATGGCTCACAGAAGTCAGGGAAACAACTTACTTATATTTATTCATAAAGGAAGTTAGGAAGGATACAGGTTAACAGCCAGATGAAGAGATGTACAGGATGAGGTGCAGGTGAAGGGGAGGGGGCAGAGTTTCCATGCCCTGCCTGGATGTGCTACCCTCCAGACCGGTCCATATGCTCAGTAAGCCGAGAGCTCTTCAAACCCTGTAGTTCAGGGTTTTTTTTTTTTTTTTTTTTTTTTTTGAGACGGAGTTTCGCTCTTGTTACCCAGGCTGGAGTGCAATGGCGCGATCTCGGCTCACCGCAACCTCCGCCTCCTGGGTTCAGGCAATTCTCCTGCCTCAGCCTCCGGAGTAGCTGGGATTACAGGCACGCACCACCATGCCCAGCTAATTTTTTGTATTTTTAA